ACGACCACATTCACATCATACATTTACTAGGATAGTACCTTAAACAGCCATGGCTTCCCCTAAAGGTTTATGGGAAGTGTAGTTTGTAAAAGGTGCTGAGAGTTGTTAGGAGACCCCCTGTCCCCTGTCTCAGTCCCCAGAGCAGCTGAATTGTAAATCCTCTTCAAGAGGAATTCTGGGTACTGTTGTTCTTTAAGGGAAACAGTGATTTGCTAACAACTCTCATCAAGCTATGCTTCCTGAAACTCTTTGGGCAAATCCCTGATTGTTTAAAGTGCTATCACAGTGCTTTAAATATATGGTGAATATATGGTTGCCTAAGTCTACTCAGAGTAGACCCATGTTAATCAATGAACCTAAGTTGTTCATGTTCATTAACTTCAATGGGTCTACTCAGACTAAGATTAGAATTGTATACCACTCCTTTCTTTTTCACTTACATATTATAAACAACCCCAAGTGCTTGAAGTTTATGGTGCAGCATATAGATGTCATAAATAAATAAATGTGCCTTGTTTCCGGTCTAGCCACAGCATACACAACCATCACAGCTCTGCCCTGCACATTTTATGCTGTTTCGCCTGGTGGTCCGTTTTTACAAATGCTCTTGTGCATGTGTGTACACACACATACATAGACACACACTTCTGGCAATGGATAAAATAGATTCATTAGCTTTGATTAACCTCTTTTAAAGTAGACTTTAAAAACCTACTGCAGACAGCTCCTGTGACAGAGACGGCCTTTAAGATGCCTTTATCATGTTTAAGACCCAATTACTGTTGTCCCAAATAGGAATAAAACATCACAGTAAAAATGTGGCCCACACGTTATGTCCAGGCTCACAGCAAATAATCATTAATTTATAACAGCAATTTCCCCTCTTCCTGTAGTTTTATTGATGGCTACAGTTAATTTGAGTTGAAAACAATGTAACATGAGACTGATCAGCTCAAGTATTGGGTTTTATTGACTTTTCAGTTTCTCTCTTTCCCTGCTTCTCTCCCCCCCCCTTAATAATGCTGTGTGCTTCAGGTGTCAAATAGCTACATCTTAATAAACCTTCATGAAAAGCAACTCTGAGATGAACCAGCTGTATTCCCCACTCTGTTTTTACAGTTTTAAAAAAATACTGTAAAATTCCAGTAATCATTCCATGTGGAGAGGGAGAAGGGGGGAGGGAATCACTGGAAGTAACCATAATGAATTTATGTCCCAAACTGCCCAGGGGTTACGGAAAATCACTTCTAAATGGTTTGTTTTCTCAAAACTTCATTTAACCCTCACATTCCTGCTTCTGCATGGAAGGTATAAAGGCCTATGGATATACTTTTATTTTTAAAGAACGGTATATGAAAATAAAGATAGAGGAAACTATTAATAAAATGTGTTACATTTTTGTTATAGAATAACTTCTTGCCACAAGAAGGTTCCTTATACTGAGTCAAGAGGTTGGTAAGTCTAGCTCAACCTAATGTGATCTGACTGGCACCAGCTTTCCAGGGTTTAAGGTCAGAGGACTATGGGCAGGGGCAGAGGAAGGGGGAGTGCGGTGGGGGCGGGTTGACCCAGGTGTCACCACTGAGGGGAGGTAACAAAATCACCATGGGGCCTGCAGCGCACCCGAGCCACGCGTCTCTCCTGGTAGTGACACGGTGGCTTGGGTGCCCACAGGCTCCGCTCTGCCCCAAACGGTCTGCCCGCTGCCTCCCCCTCAGCTGTAGGGCAGCTGAGTGGGAGGAGGCAAGTAGGCTCCATGGAGGCCCTGCAGAGGACCCTGCCCTGGCTGGCCCTGTCCCACAGGTGGCTGGCCCCGCCCCTGGGTGCAGGGCACACACGCCTCCCCAGGCGTCTGATCGGCTTGCTCCGCCGCTGACTATGGGAAGCCCACAAGCAGAATCCGAGCACTGTCGCCTCTTGTATTTTCCAGCAATTGGCATTCAGAAGCATTCCTGCATCTGGCTATGGAGGCAGAGTAAAGCCATCATGGCTAGTAGCCATTGAAAGCCTTCTCCTCAATAAATTCTCCAACGCAAGAGTTGCACTAGTGGAAATGCTTCAGCTGCATTCAGACAGCACTTCATTTCCTTTCCTCGATGTTTCCTTACCTGACAATTTTCACGTTTCATGACATCTTTCGCATGATGCAAAAATGCCACTTTTTGAAAATCTAGTGGAATCTAATGAAAGTTTAGAGATCCTTTCTGAGTTAATTTATTCCAGAAAACAAAAAACAAAAAACCCATTTGCAATCAATTTCCATTAAATCAGAAAATGGCTTAAGTTTGGGATTGTAATTTTCATAAACATGCCACCACCATTCATTTGATGGACTTTGCACTGGTGTCCTAGCATTCAGTTGTTTTCCACTACTTAAAATCACTTGATAGTGCAGTGGTTCTATATATGTGTGATTGTTATTTCCCACACATCCACAGAGTTCATTCATGTAATCTTCAGCATGTCTGTAAAAATACAGTTAAAAACCATGCTAGTATAGTACATTAGAATTGCTACAACACAGGCAGAAAAAGTGGTCCTGCCAAGACCTTCAGCAGTTTTCCAGTGGTCCATGGGAGGCAGGGGAAGTTTGCAAACCACTGATTTAAAACAGTTGAATGGGTTTGTGTACCGTATGGTGTTAAATGCACAGAACACACTGCTTTGAAACAGATAAGTCAGAACTTGTTGATAACTTGGCTATAGGTGTGTAAAAGTGTACCAGTTGTTTAAAGCAATCATAACAAATGTTTGTTTTTTGCTTTGCTATTTTCTGCAAGTTATTTTTTAATATTACAAGAAATGAACGTTTTTAATCCCTCCCCATACTGGAATATTAAATTATTCCCCTGAAATGTGAATAGCATCTCCAGTAAACTTTCTGGAAAGTTGCTTAATGATTCCTTAATACAAAGAAGATGCAGAGAGAGAGGGGTAAGGAAGTCTATAAAATATATCTTGAGTTGTTCTTTTCCTTTAGAAAAGACCTGGTTCCACCAACACTTTTGCTTCCTAAAGAATCTTGCAGCTATGGACATTACATATATGCATAGTCAGTGCACTTAGGATCTCAAACTCAAAATGTGCTGCACGATTAAGTATTTTACTGGATGGGGAATATCTATATCTATATCTATACATACATACATACATACATAGTTTGGTTTGTAACCTCTCCCCCTCCCCTTTTACACTTTAGGAGCAGCTGGTCTATAAGGCAGCTGCGCAAGGAACAGAGTCAATTTTGGACCGGGTTTGAGCAAAGTGGTAACAATAAACAGGGAGATACTGCAGCTCTCAGGCAAGAAGGAGGAACAACAATTAAAAAACAAGCCGAAGAAAACAAGTGTGCTCACTTAAGAAGGAGAGATCCCTATAGAGAAGTCATCAGGATCACTTGCTACTTGACAGAAGAGAGCATTGCGCTTAAGAGCTGCCAAAGACATTTCATCTCAAGTGAAAATCACAGCGATGTGTAGATTATTTCCCCTTGGGTGGAAGGAAAAAAAAAACCCACCTCGGAGGAATTGCAAGGGCAGCCCAAAGGGTTTCGATAAGACTGGTTACAATTCCCAGAGCGGGTATTCATACAACACTAGAGGCCTGTTTGGGCCCTCAGTTACCTCACATGATTAGACTCACATGAGTGAAGATGAGCTGGCTGCCCCTACCATCACCCCCCTGTGTCTGCATTCACTACCTTCCATGCACTATTGGATGAACATCTGCAGTGGGGAGCCTGCTATCGTCCTGGAAACTCCCGACAAGGTTTAGAATCCTGATTGTGCAGCGTTCTAAATTGCACAGGGTGCATAAAGGCCCCAGCTGTAGATGTTCAATGCCCCACCCTCCGTACCGCGCATTAGGAATGACATGGCTGTGCATGGAAAGACAATGGAGTTGGTTTGGCTCAGAAATGCATCCCTGCTCACCCTCTTGTGATTCTCATCAAACGAGGGGGATGAACGCCTGGATTTGTCTTAGTTTGTCACTATAATTTGCACCTGGAGCAAAATTCAAAGTGGATCCCGAGGTTCATCCGAAGCCAAAAGAGGAAATGTCAAAGGAAAGCCTGGGGGAATACAGATAAGTTGAACAAATTCTGACAGGATTGACAAAGTTTCACGGAAAGCATCATTTCACACTTCTGTAGTTATGCTTTTTTTTCTTTCTTTCAAACAAGCTCTTCGCCTGGTTTGTACAAAATCCTATGGGGAGTGAAATTTCATCGCAGGGAATATGTGGCAGAATTGATTCCCTTTTAGTAATTTCTTGACAAAAACAACCAAACATTGAAATCACCGTGAATCATTAACAGAATATTCAGCACACTCAGAATTACACGTTGGTGTGTCTCAAGCAACTTGCCAGTGTATAAGATTATCCATATATGGTATCAAATGTGTCTGAAAATTGCATTAAGAGCTGTTCATTGTGGTTTGGGTTGTGCTCTGGGTGATTCTGGAATGGCTGAATGCATGCCTGGCATTAATGCTTGGAAGTACCTCACTGGAAACCAGAGCCTGTCTACCAATCTTACTGACCATGGGTCTTAGGAGGGAGGGTCCAGAGGCAGCTTGGGGGAATTGAGCATGGTGGACCTTCCTAGCAAGGAAGAACTGGCAGTGAGAGTGGAGGAAGAAGTCTGACCTGACCAACATCATAACACTGGTCCATTGATCCAACTAGCTTAGTATTGTCAGCACTGACTGGCAGCAACTCTCCACTGTTTCTGATTTAAAGCTTTTCCAGCCCAACTTGGAGATGCCAGGAATTAAACCTGAGACCTTTGGCATGCAATGGGCCTTCCTCATAGAACAGAAACACAAGAGCCACCTACACTGGTTGGCAGTGTCTTTTCAAAACATTCTCAGCCCCAGCTAGAGATGCTGGGGATTGACCCTGGACCTTCTGCATGCCAAGCATGTAGCTCAGTACTATTTACACTGACTGATAGTGGCTCTCTATGGTTTCAGATGGGAGACATTCTTGGCCCCACTTAGGGATGCCATAGGTTGAACCTGGGACCTTCTGCATGCAAAGCATTTTCTCTACCACTGAGCCACAGCCCTTCATCTAAAGACCAGAAGGCTGACAGTTCTCCACCCCCAGTGCCACACCAGTGGGACAGGTGCAATCATGGGGCAAGGAGCCTGGAGGAAATGGGAGCTGATCTCCCAAGAACAGGAGCCCCAGGTGAACTATGAGAGAAGGGAAGAGAAATGGACTACGTAAATGAGACACTGAGAAGGCTTTAAGACTGGAATCTAGGGATGGAGGAAGATTTCGTTGGGTCTGTTTTACTAAACGAACTGAGCTAATTTGCACCTCTTGGACTAGCATTCAGAGCAGAATGCAATTATCTTTCAGATTTCACACTTCTCCAAATTTTGTGATGAAGTTATTGGTGGTTTTTGGGTTGGTTTTTTTAAAGTATCAAAGCTGCATAACAGGTTGCCTGCTTTAGGATAAAATACATTTATAAAAGTGTACACTGAGGTAAAAATTCAATTTAAAAACATTTATGTGGTAATATTTCAGTATGCATTTCCATCTCATAAAAAGCAGATTAAGGCAGAAATGGGATGAAATTGTTTCATCCCCCCCAATTGTTTCAGCTATCCTGTGAATGTGAAATTGGCACATGTGAAACGGACATGAATGAGGAATAAAATGTCCTGCCCATCCCTAGGCTGGACAGGTATGGTCCTGGGATAATTTCCTTATGGCTAAGAGCTTGAGCATGGGGAAGAGAGGAAGGTACTAAGGGTGATAGAAAGGCAATCCATTCTTTGTCGATATTTATGTTTGTGCAATAAAAGGTGGCCACAGACCAGGACATTGATCCACCAGAGGGGTAATAAAATGAGAGGTGTTTTGATGAGGAAGATGGAGGCCTGTATACACAGGCAGAGCATACTCTGTGCTAAACCATTGCATGCATGCATAAAGTGCTGGCTCCAAGATTTGTGGGGCACTTGGGCATGGCAGGCACAGTAGGTGCCCTAACCTACCTCCGACAGGTGAGGCAAATGGGCTTCATCTGATCTTGAGGGATACTGTGTGCAAACTGGAACTGGTAGCAATGCTGGAGTGCTGGCCTTGAGACCCTGGCAAATTCTCAGCTTCACCAACCTCTGGAGTGGGCACGCCATACCTAAATACATAAAATCAAAATGATGCAACAATGTAGCCAAAACCATTTATCATGGATAGTTGAATTCCTCAACCATGGCACGCTAAGCAAATGTGTGTGGCTTCTCATATTTTGTACACATGCTTTCTTCAATATTACTGTGCTCTCCTGCTAATAACAAGGAGCAGGTAAGGAGTAAAAGGGAATTCTGACCACTACACATCCACCCAATTGGAAATCGGAACCAGCCAGCTTCTCTGGGCTTCTTGAGATTTCAACAGTTTTTATGAGTCTGTCCTACATACTTCAAAGTACTTTCCCCCCATCCATATGGACTAGAACTTTGCTTGGTTTAAAAAGAAAGAAAGAAAGAAAGAAAGAAAGAAAGAAAGAAAGAAAGAAAGAAAGAAAGAAGAGTTTGGATTTGATATCCCACTTTATCACTACCCTAAAGAGTCTCAAAAAAGGGACGTAAGTGGCGCTGTGGGTTAAACCATAGTGCCTAGGACTTGCCAATCAGAAGGTCGGTGGTTCAAATCCCCACGATGGGGTGAGCTCCCGTTGCTCGGTCCCTGCTCCTGCCAACTTAGCAGTTTGAAAGCACGTTAAAGTGCAAGTAGATAAACAGGTACCACTCTGGCGGGAAGGTAAATGGCGTTGCTCTGGTTCGCCAGAAGCAGCTTAGTCATGCTGGCCACTTAACCCGGAAGCTGTACGCCGGCTCCCTCGGCCAATAAAGCAAGATGAGCGCCGCAACCCCAGAGTTGGCCATGTCTGGACCTAATGGTCAGGGGTCCCTTTACCTTTACCTTTAAGGAGTCTCAAAGCAGCTAACAATCTCCTTTCCCTTCCTCCCCCACAACAAACACTCTGTGAGTTGAGTGAGGCTGAGAGACTTCAGAGAAGTGTGACTAGCCCAAGGTCACCCAGCAGCTGCATTTGGAGGAGCGGGGAAGCAAACCTGGTTCATCAGATTACAAGTCCACCCCTCTTAACCACTACACCAAGAAAAGCAAGCTGAGAGCCTTAGACAGCCTTATTCAGCACCTGAGGAATCCTGAGGAATATCAGTATAGAAAGCACATAACACTTCTAGAAACTTTGATAACCTGCTCAGCTGTGATTTTGCTGGTCTACATGCAGTTTTGTCCTTTGACCAGAGCGGACCACTGGCTCATAGGTTGACTCCTTGTCTGACATCCCTCTGGTCACCAGATCAAAAGTCTGCGGTGGAGCTGAGCCTTAACAGGGTCTGGGAATTGATCCCAGCAAAGTGCTTGCCGTATGTTATGCTAACACTGACATATCCTAACTCACCCCTCCCCTGCCTTGCTATGAGCCTCAGAAGCTCATCAGTTCTGGCAGTCAGTCGGTGCCAACAAGCTCCACATTGCAAAATGTTCAGGAGAGATATGTCAGAGGCACCAGCCTGCTGTTAAAAGAGGGGGGAAAGCCTTCAAAAAGAAGCCAGATTTAATATTTCATCAGCAGAACAGATCGAGAGATTTGCAAAACATCAAACAAATACTAATACAAACACCTTCTGAAAGCAAATTAGGGAAATTGCCGCAGACAAATGTTCCCATTGACACAGCGGTGGGTGTTTGCGGGCCTCTGTTTACATTGTCGCATCATGAAAAATACAATAAACACCTCAAAGAAGTATGCTTATTTATTAAGACTATACTTTCATCTTTGGTTTGGGTGACATGTACAAAACATTTCTGCTTTATTCTTGAAGCTGACTCCCCACCCCACCCCCATGATGACACAGCTCCTAATGCACAGCTGGGTGTAGACATGCAAATGGCAAAGCCCTGTAAGCACATGATGGGAGCTGTCGCTGCAGTCAGATGTCTTTATAGTCAAAGGGAGATACTTGTAATTACGCATCGCGGTGTATTTTCCAGGGCTCTCTGCAACGTTGTAACCCAGACACGGTGCAAATAGCAGTGATTCTTCAGCTTCACACTGAATATGTTCCTGGACCAGAAGCTAATTGGTTGATATTGGGGGTGGGGGGCTTTACAGAATAAACCAGTTGCACATGTTCACCAATGACTCAAATATGAATTGATGCATACTTCCTCTGTGCAATTAAACCATTTTTGCATGTGGTGCCCAGCAATGGTAATGTAGTGGTCTGGGGTTGCAGGGAGTCCAAAACCCATTCTTCGTTCTACATCAAGGCCCCTGAAGGGTCCCTACCTCCAGCATCCTAGAGCTGCCCAGTCAACATGAAAGAGGAACTTTTTAGCCACTGAGTCTTCTCATCCTTTGTGCTCTACGTGAGGCTACATTTGAAGGTGACTTGGAAACTACAGCTAATCCAGAATGAGGCAGCTAGACTGGTGACTGGGAGCGGCCAACGAGACCATATAACACTGGTCCTAAAGGATCTACAGTGGCTCCCAGTAAGTACATTTCTGAGCAAAATTCAAAGAGCTGGTGCTGACCTTTAAAGCCCTAAGCAGCCTCAGCCCTGTATACCTGAAGGAGGGTCTCCACCCCCATCGTTCAGCCTAGACGCTGACAATGTTGTGTATTACTCTGTTCATGAAAACTCCACTTAGGACCAAATTCTGAAGGTATGATTCTTGTTACGTTATCCAAAAAATGCCAAGGTGCCTGGCACATTTACCTCACAACTGCTTTAAGTGCGGGAGTACAACAGAAAGGCATTACAATCTTAAAATAATTTTAGAACACATACCCTCACCATTCAGGAAAAGATAACAGGAAATGCTAAGAGCAACTCAAAGCAGGGAATCAAGACACTCTAAGAAGTGTGAATACATCTGATAATGAACAATTATGTATAAATTAAGTGTGAAGTTTTCCTAGCTACTGAAATTAAATCTCATGAGACTGCAACCTAGGAAGGGTTAAATGAGAAATTTGAGCTGTTACTTCTATTGAAAACATTAGGCTGTAGCCAAATAAGATTTACCCAGAGTAGACCCATTGAAATTGATGTACCTCAGCTAATCATGTATATTAGTTTCAGTGTGTCTACTCTAAGTAGAACTTGATTGGATACATTCCATTCCATTCCATGTTCTAATCAGACTAGACCGGCTGAAATTACTAGATCTAAGTTAGTCATGTCCATTCATTTCAGAGGGTCCACTCTTGAGTATGACTAACATGGGCTGCAACCTGTGGCAATTTAGGAAGTAAAGACCACTTTAAATGAGAGAGAAAATGAGGAAGGACTGATGAATATTTAAGACGCAAAGCACTGGATGAGCATAACTAGAAATAATGACAAAGGAGGAAGACCACAATTAAGGCAGAGGAATTAATCCACCCTCTAGAGTCTAGACCCATGGTTCCCAGTGTGGGGTACATGCCCCACAGGGGGGCAATTTGATTTTTAAGGGGGGCAATTTGGAAGCTTGTTTAGACCAAGTTAATGGCCTTTTAGGCTTCCTCCACATGAATAGGTGTTCACGTTTTGAATAATAAGAATTATATGTCATGGGGGGGGGATCAGGATTTTAGAGGTGCTTAGGTGGGGCATAGCCAAAGAAAGGTTGGGAACCATTGGTCTTTACCATAGTGGTGACAGCAAGAACAAGGGAAAGGGCTGAAGGAAATATGGACAAAGCTAGGCATTTTCAGGCAGGGACCGATTCCGAAGAAGAGAAAGTACAAAAACCTAGCCAGTAGCACTCCCCCCCACACATAAAAACTTGGTATAACAAACCTGGAAACCAAAAGGATGTTTGGATTGGGCAATCAAAACTTTTTGAGGGTACTTTTGGACACTGATAGTGTCAATGTTCTATCTTCTGTATCTTCTACCTGCTCAGGAGGCTGGGAGGATTGGAAAGCTTAAGACTATGTGTGCATTTCATGGATAATTCTTTGCAAACCGGACAAATTCAATGTGAGCGATCAGTAGAAGTAGGTGGGGAAGGGTCCAAAAGCCTTCACATTTCTTTTAGCAGCAAAACAGAACTACTGTGTGAATCTTTTCTCCACATTTATCAGTCCCAGGGCTTCTACAAACAATGTATTGCCAATTAATTTTGACCTTTTCAGGAAACAAAATATATCAAGCAAATGGAAAATGAATTCCATTTCAGCAGGGTGGCCAAGTTTTAGAACACTTCCAGCTGTTCTAGTTTGTCTTTAAGAAAAAGAACACCCCCCCAAAACAAAGAGAAAGAATTCCAGTAAGGACAGTCTGGAAAACAAGTAAACAAGGAGCCTGGAACACATGGCTGCAGTCAGAGTCACTGAGAAATCACTAAAGGTCCATTTCCTTCCTCCTCCAGTGAAACTTGTCTTCTATGAAATAACACATGGGGATTAACACATGATTCACTTACCAAGCCCCATCTATGGAAACCCTGCACAAGGACTCCCACTTGTGCAATGGGGCTTCCCCCCTGCCCTTGCCCCCACCAAAATTGGCTGGTGGGGTTTAACCCATAATTTATATACCAAAGGCCTAAGCAAGAAGATCAGGCCACAGCTTCTGTTTCAGGTGGAGACTGACATGAGTGAATAGTCCTCTGTTCAGTTTCCCCCCTGAATACAGAAATCTAGCATATCAGAGGGAAGCTAGAAAGGGAAAATAATTCTCCTTGATATTTAGGCTGCAATCCCACCTTGCAGCAATTCCCACTTGCAGTAAGTAGAACTTACTTCTGAGTAGACATGCACAGGATTGCCATACATTACCTGGATTTCAAAGGTGGAATTGAGGTCCAGGGGGAATATCTGAAAGGCGGTGCTTCGTCCTGGATCTTAGCTCAGGCAAGTCGATTGAAAAATCATGGTTTTTGGGCTGAACAATTTTGGAGTGTCCTGGTGTTTACTTTTTGAAATATGACAACCCTCTAACAGCAGGTTGAAGAGGTACAGTCAAAGCAGAGATTTCAGCAAGACAGCCAGATCAATGAATACATTGTCAAGCAAATAGAAGATATGCCACATTTTAAAATAAGCATTAACTCAATATTAACAGTCCCATGTAACTTCATGAATACATTTGTAAAAAAAAAGTGTAAATCTTGGCAGGAGTCTGAGTATATTCTAAAGGGAGAACGAGAAATTGCTCATTAAGAAGGTCCATTAAATTTAAGAGGAATACTTACAAAACATTACATAATTTGGTCCACTGTCAGTTCAGTCAACACTTGAAAAGCATGACTATGATCATTACACACCACATGTTCCTATATAACCTCTAATCCTTTTTAAATACAAACCCTTTGGATTCCTCTGCCTGAGTGAGTCAGCCACTCTGCATTCAGGAAACTATAATTTTTTTGGGGGGGGGGGATTTTTAAGGAGCTTATTTTTCATTATGTGATTTTTATTTATTTATTAAAGTATCTATAGTGGGTCTTTCGGGGTAAACAGGTTCCCAAGCTTCCCAGCTTACAGTAAATAAACAACAAGCAAAAACAGAAAAAAAGCAAATCAAGACAACCATTTTAAACCCAACAAATTGATGGCAGATAGAATCGTATAGTTACAGCTCAGCTTTAAAAGATTTAAGATATTTTCAACGGAAGCATCATAAAACCACCAAGGAAAAAACAAGCTGGAATGGATGGGATTGTAAAGTGATATAGACGAGTGTGTGTACATACACACACAAAGTGAATCATACCCAGCATTGCTCAGGAATTCTATGGAACAATCAGGGCTTTTTTTTCATGTGGAACTTGCCGGAACTCAGTTCTGGCACCTCTCTGGTGGGCGCCATTGCCATTCTAAGTGACTGAGGGAGGTGTTAATAGCACTCGGAAGAACCCAAACAATGCAGTTTTGGGGGAAATTGGGGCAGTTTGAAAGGTTCAATCCACCATCTTGATTCAAAATGGCATACAATTATTACCAAACATAAATGAAAACCTGCTCTTTGATCACTGGAGTCATCATGCAAAATGTGATGAATATATCTTGAGGTCTGGTTCAGCAGGGCTCTTCCTCTGAATCAGAGACCTCCTCAAGAAAATGTTGGGCTGTGGCTGCAGAATATATTACCAACTACACACACCATTTCCCCCATTTGGAAATGTTGCTTCAGCACCTGTCCATATGAGATAACCCTCGTGGGACTCAAGTGGATTTTGCCATTATGTAAATTAGCAACAAGAGCAACAAGCTGATGGGAGCCCTCCCCCCCCCTCGCCTTATTTCTTGTTAGGATTCAAGGGGGTCTTTGTTTTGTAAATGTTATTAAGCAGAGACTTTCTCGGGTTCATAACTTTGGGGAGGGTTCAGAGGGAATGGCTGGGAAGAGGGCAAGCTTTGGAAGGCCGGGCCCACTTATCGGCAACCCAATCGGACGGGCCGCACAAAGGTCGCAGAGCTCGGAATTAATTAATACAGGTAGCACAATCCTGAGACCTGCCTACTGTTGTGCAACAAAGATCTCTCCCAAAGCTCTTTCAGGGGACGTAAGAATGTCGCCTTTGTTCGGCTGGCTGATTGAATGCTACTCTGTTACCTCCTTTTATGTGGAGGCATATAATGTAACACGCCCAACACAATGTGTAAGTAACATTAGTGTTATGTTACACAGTCCCACAAATAAAAGGATGTTTAAAGTAAAGGCTGACATTCCATCCTCAACTTTTGCTACCTTTCTGTTACATCACACCTCAAACATAACACCGAGCTAAGCCCCTGGCCTCGAAGCGCTGAGACAGAGGGAGATGCAATTCAGTAAGCGCCTTTCAGTTTCCTTATCCGTCTCACTGTTATTAGCTCATATAACCTTTTGTTGCTTCCTGCCCCCCTTGTGTAAGTAGTGCATATTACCACAAATCATTCTAGATATATAAGCAGTAAGCAGGCCACAGGGACCCACAGGGAAGGGCCAGAGATTGGTGCTAAACCCGTGCCAAAGACAAGGTTCAATCCCTGGCCTTGGTTTAGTTTTATTTATAAAAATATTTGTAAACTGCCAACTCATGTAAAATATTGGGCAGTATATGCTATTAAAACATCAAACACTGTAAAAACAACAACAAAGGAAATTGTTGTTGTTGAATTTATTAGTCACCCTTCACCAGTGGGTCCCATAAAAAGTTGCAACAATTTAACGTTCAGAATTAAAAGCAGTTAAAACAAATTACAGTCATGGGAATAGAGTGGGCCCTGAAAACACCCATCTCAGGGGTCGAAGGTCAGGGTAAAGAGGTGCGATGAAAGTCTTTAGTGAAGATGCCAGACGCAGCTCTGTGGGGAGGGAATTCTACAACTTATGGGCTGCCCTCTACTGGGCCACCACCTCCCTCCCGAAACTTCTGAGAGGTGGAACTACCAAGAAGAGCCCCTCTGCTGCTCTTAACACCTGACAGAATAGTTACAATGACGGGCTAATTGAGGGTCTGTAAGCAGCTGCATGGGCCTGCCAGTGTAAGAAGGTCCTCAACAGATTCCTGAAAGTCAGTAGTGAGGATGCCTTCTGAATCTCCCGTGTTCCATAGCATGGGACTAGTGACACCAAATACCCAACTTTTAGTTGTAACGTAGCATTGTGAGACAGGAATAGGAGGGGCTACTGTCTGAAATCCTGAAGTGTACAGGAGGAAGATATTTTTCATGGAGAATAAGGCTATCAGCGGCTACTAGCTATCATGGCTTTGCCCTTCCTCAATGGTCAGAGGCAATAATGCCTCTGAAGACCAGTTGCTGGAAGCCATAGGGGGAGAAGAGTGCTCTTGAGCTCAGGTGCTTGTGGGTTTCACTGTGAAGAAAAAGCTGGATTAGATGGGCCACTGGCCTGATTCAGTGGGGCTATTCATATGTTCTTATGTTCAACTTGTCCCTGTGGACAGTACTGAGCAAGAAGGAACATTGTTCCAACATGGAATAAGGCACTTACTCATGTTGTTGGGATTTCCCGCTCCTAAGTGAAAACACGATCCCTTACCCAAGGAATAGCCATCTTTCTTAGTAACAATGATGTTGTTATGCAGCCAATCAGATTTGGCTACATGATGGTGTCACATGCTGTTACCAGAAAGAACAACAAAAAACCAACAACGTAGAAAGCAGACGTACACAGTGGTACATCGGGTTAAGTACTTAATTCATTCCAGAGGTCCGTTCTTAACCTGAAACTGTTCTTAACCTGAAGCACCACTTTAGCTAATGGGGCCTCCTGCTGCTGCCGCGCCACCGGAGCACGATTTCTGCTCTCATCCTGAAGCAAAGTTCTTAACCCGAAGTAATATTTCTGGTTTAGCGGAGTCTGTAACCTGAAGCATATGTAACCTGAAGCCTATGTAACCCAAGGTACCACTGTACTGAGGACGGATCTACATTGGCAATTTATAACGTTAAAAATGAGTTATTAAAATGTGGCACTAGAGGGTGCTGTAGAGCAGCAAGCCCTTGATAATGGAGAACTGCATCGAGAGCTATATGATGTTATATTTAATAATGTTCTTACAGCCCAATGTAGATCCAGCCTGAGTCATTAGTCCATCGAGCTCTGTATTGCCAATGCAGACTGACAGCAGCTCTCTAGGGCTGCAGGCAGGAAGGTTTCTCCAGCCCTGCATGGAGATGCTAGGGACTGAACCTCGGACCTTCTGCGTGCAAAGCAGGTGCTTTACTACCTCAGCCCCTCTCTAAAGTCACAATCTTGCAGAAGGCCACCCAAATAAGATGCTTCCACCTTACCTGCCTGCCAGATGTGCCCCTTGGGGAGATGGGATCACTTGATTGTACATTGGGACATGTCTTCTCTCTGCTGTGTCTCCCATAACAAAACTCCAAAAGATTGGGGAAGGGGGGGGCAGCATTTTGTACTGGGATTTTGTGGGGAGGGAAGGCAGAGAAATGGTTCAGAAAATGCCCATCCTTTCACCTTAGCCCCACTTAAATGTATAGAGAAAGATGAGGGGGTGTGGGTTGGTCAAGGAATGTTGCAGTAAGCACTGAATCTTCAACTCCCCGGAGGTTTTTTCTGTGCTGGATTGCACAGTCAGTTGTGATTGTTTTGTTCACTTTCCCCCTGCTTTGTTCCATGGGCAGCCCAACATGTTTTCCTGCCGATATGCAGATTTAGCGATGTTGTGTTTGGATTCGCCCATGAAGGGGGCTTCAGCTGACACAAAAGACTTATCAATAGCATTGGACTGTCTTTGACAGCTGGCTGCGCTTCTCTTCCTGGGAACAGAAGGGAGAGGGAGAGAAAAAAGAAGAGTAGAGAGAGAGAGACTTGACTATCAGCCAGTTAGTTGCAAAAATGCAAAATAAATAAATAAGAATTATCTCCATGTGTGTGTTAGAAAGAGAGATATTTATGTGCAGGATTAATATATTTATGTGAAGGAGATAAAATATATATATCAGGGCTACCTGTTTAGAAAAATACAGATCCTGCCTCACTCTTTTACTCCCTCTAGGTGCCAAGAGAACAAGGCTTCACTTGATCGCCTTGATAAATCCATCATGTTTGCATGCTTATAATTAGATTAGCAGCTGCTGTAAGTCTGGGCACTGGAATGTTTCTGTTTATTAAAAGGAATTGTTTCCTTGAAATGCTGGAGTGACGGTTTCAGCGCCTGCCCGGGCGTACACACACAGAATCCGCCACGCAAACCAGCGTGACTTTCGGCATGACAAGAGAATGAGAGAGAGAGGGAGAGAGGGAGAAAAGAATCAGTAATGGTATATGATTCTCAAATCGAGTCGAACTGATAAAAATCAGGGTTGCTGTCAGCTGTGCAAATTGAGAGCTCCAAGCAAATGCCTTGAACTGGGGATGGTTTTGTGCAAGGAAGGTGCTCCCCCTGCTGTTGATCTGGCTGAAGGAGGGTTTCAGCTGGTGCTTCTCCCCTATTAAGTTTCTTTGGGGGGGGAAGCTGCTTCTTTGCAGTGTCTCTACAACCTCATTCACTGTACAGCTTCTGAATTTTAAACTGGTTAAAATAGGAATAGGTGTGCTCCGTAGCAGAGTATTTGCTTTGCATTAAGAAACACACAATTTCATGCCTTGACATCTCCTGGTAGGGCTGGTAGATAACTTTGTCTGAAATACCCCAACAGCAGCTGCCAGTCAGTGCAGACAGCATTCAGCTAGATGGGCCAATGGCCTAACTTGCAACAAGGCAGCTTCTTGTGTTTCTCCTTGACATGCCCCAAGCAGCAAGGCTACTGCACTAGAGAGTGCCTTGATGCCCTTGCACAAGGAGCTACATATATGTGCACGAGAAATTTGAATTGTGACAGAGTTTCATCTGCCTTCTAATCAAATCTGTAAGACCCAAGGGTTGGTTTCTCACACCTGAAGGGTCACAGCTAAGATGTATGCATTAACAAAATTGGGTTAGAGGTGCCAAGTTCTGCCCAAATTGGGGGGCCTCACCATGAGCATGTGACATCACACATGCCACATGCACATGTGACATCATGAGTGTTGTGGCATGAAGCCTGGAGAACCTCGGTGAGGCCTGGCAAGGTCCAGTGCCGTAGCAAGGCCCAGGGAGGCCCCCGCCATTGTGGCAAGGCCCAGGGAGGCCTGCTGCTGCAGTGAAGTCCTGTGAGGCATTCAGCTTCCCCAAGGCCCAACCCTTCAAGATTGGGGGCGGGGGCTCAACCCCATACCAACAGATTTTGAGGGCCTGAAGATACTTCAGCCCTATGGAGTTGGTGCCTACAAATAGGATTGTTCCCACATTGCATTTAACAAGGGTGCAAATCTGTGTACACAGTAGTTCAGCTGTACAATCATAAAGATATTAACATGTAATGTTGAGCAAGTTTACTGTTTGTGCCCCTGTGTACACAATAGCTGAGCTGTATATGTGTAGAGACAGCTTGTATCTCTGTTTCAGGATAACATGTGAACAAGTTTTCTAGCCACAGAACAACAGGAGGAGAGCTCCCTGATAATTGAGAAGTTTCTTTCACCTGTACGCCCAGTGGGAGCTTACTCTGTTTCTCTCTCCATACCATCTCAACCAGCTGAAGATTTTTAGAAGGAAACAGGGCAGAAGATAGTAGAGGAATGATTCCAATCAAATGTTCATTTAAGAGGAATTCAATTCAGTTCGCATTTAGAGGTGAACCTACCTATCAAATGTACATTTCCTGAAACAAAATGCAGTCTGAAACACAACCAACCTTTGCAATTTGCACATCTCTGAATTTTGCAATGCAGTTCACCAGTCAAGTAATGTGTACAAAATTGCACATGCTGGTGTAAAGTGTGCACAAACTGCATATATTAGTGAAAATAACATGCACAAATGCATTACATTACTTTGCAAAATCACTTTGCAAAAAAAAAGTCTATATTACAAAAAAATTGCATTCAACAATGCGTATATTAGGAAAACTTTGCTGGGGAATTTTTTAAAGAAAAAGAACAAACGAACTTTATGTGAGGAACTGAATTTAAGATTGGGAAAACCAAAACCAAGAGTTTCACCCCTATATGCCACAAATATTCTGCTTCCTATAAAGTTGTGGGGGCTAAGTTTTCTGACAAAGCAATTTTGTTTCTGCCACCCCAAAGATCCCAGCAATTTTGCCAGTGGAGACAAATAGAAAATACAAGTACACACAACACTGAGGTAAGCAGAGAGGTTTGGACTTCTCTGCACAGCCCAGCGCCTTGACACTTAGACCTGTACCTAGAAATCATAGGGCAAGCGGAAAACCGCTCCGCCCCATTTTCTCTAGGAAAAGAATGCCTAGGTGTTCCAAACATTCCCTGTAGGGGCCTTGCAGACATACTTTCTGTAGCCCTATAGCTGCTGTTTGTTCCAATGTTTTTTGGACTGGAATTGTAGCAGCCCATCCACACCACACCACATATGTCAGTTTTTTGGAGGGTGATGGCACTTTCCCTGGTCTACACCAATTGTTGAGAGCTGTCAGGAAGTGTCCCATTTCCTCTCACAGAGCTACAATTTCCAGAGCTCCTTGGAAAGAGGGATTGATTATTAAACCGCTCTCTTGTATCTCTTCGAGGGGAATTGGTGGTCTCCTAACAGCACACTTGAACTACAATTCCCAGGATCCTTTGAGGGACTGTTTTAAGTGGTATGATACTGCTTTAATTGTATAGTACAAATGAGACTGTAGCTGACTGCAAAACATTGGACCAGTATTGTTGCTACATTGAAGGGATTTTATGCTTTATTGAAGGGAGGGAGAACACCACAGCTGGCATTCCCAAGGCTGGCAGGAGATAGACTTGGCAACTGGGAATGGTCCAGGCCATTTTTAGCACAGCAGTATAGATTCCATGGATTAATCTTCAGTAACCCTTTGGAATGATCAGGGATCACCCACTGGGTCACTTCAGTCCAGTGAATTTAGAAGGGCAGTAACTGAAGTATTATAAATATTTATTTAATGAGGCATATTGCAAATAACACTCTTGGGTTCCTGCTCTTTCTAGACAGCAGATTACTACCATCCATTCTCCCACTGATCAAGAGAGAAATATCACTTTATTCCTCTGAGGGCCATGGCGAAGTATAAGTCTGATAAGGAATAAATAAGAAGCAACCGCTCAAGGCCATCTTTCCTACTTCCACACTGGATTGCACATGACCCTTAATGAAGCTCTCTTCATTAAGGCAAATGAATATTTGAAATGGATCTGCTAGGAACTAGGAATTTTGGTTCCATTTGCACTTTAAGGTGAATCTACCTAATTTGTCCTTCCTGGAACAAAGTTCAAAAACTGCTGAATTCAACCAGTGAATGGAAAGGAAGAACTTACCTGTTCCACATCTGATAACATATTATGTCAAGTGATGAAGGGTGGGTGGGTGTGGCTTGGGTCAAACCATGTTGCAGATCAAAGGAGGAGGCCTGGTGGGTGCTTAATTAGACCTGTGGGAGGCTACCCACTTCTGTCTTCACGGACAGGCAGCATTTATCCATGATTTTAGACAGGCATCTTTTGGCAGTCCCCCCTGCAAATGTGTCTATCTCCAGTCAGTCACAATCACAAACTCTCCTCCCTGATTTCCATTCCATTTCTACATTTCTCTTTGAGCTTTCAGGAAGAGATCTCAATGTATGCCAGGTTTTCCCATGTCACCCAGGAACAGCAGCAATGAAGTCAGTGCATTTTGACTACCTCAGCAGTGGCAAGGACCCGGGTAGCTGGATGCCCGGACTGCATCATCAACAGTGTCCGTTGTACATGCTGAGCTCCTGAACCTGCCAATGAGATTTGTGTTCATTTACAACCAAGTGGGAGGCAAAGCCTATTGGAAAGAACCCAACAGTGAATTTAGATAGCATCTGCACCTAACTGTAGTACTCACACTTAAATAGGATACTCCTCAAAGTTGGTGGAATGGAAGCACTTTAAATCAGACCTTGTGTTGTCGTTGCTCACAGAAGACGAAGTCATTTCCACTTCAATAAAAGTGTGCCGCTGCTGAATAAAGAACTGTCCAAAATTCCTTGAGAGGGGACCATTACGTGCAGGCAAAGGTGTTTGCAGCCTACAAGTCAACTGGTTGTTAATATATATATAAATTAAAATCTGGTCTTTATTTTTTTTTTATTTTATTTAAAAAACAGTGGTTTCATGGAAATGCCAAATAGCATTGGGGACAGAACAGAACCCTGACGGACCCTACAGGTCAATGGC